ATGGCCCAGTGGTTAAAGCTCCTGCTCTTACAGAGGACCTGGATTCAGTTCCAGCACTCACATTGGTTTAACTCACAAATTCCTGTGACTCCAGCTCCTGGGGATCCCTCACTTCTAGCCTCTGGGGGCTCCCCCACTCATGTGGTATGCATGGACATGTGCATGCATGCATACACATGTACATGCACGCACGCACACATACACACACACACACACACACACACACACACACACATAGAGAGAGAGAGAGAGAGAAGTCCCTTTAGATACTCTGTAAGCTGGGTGTGGTGGCTCATGCTTATACTTGGGAAGTGGAGTCAGGAGGATCTGGAACCCAGGTCATCTTTAATGACTTAGTAAGCTGGAGGCCATCCTAAGCTTCACAAGACTGTCCCAGACACACAAGAAATAATAAATACCTTTTTCTATGTATTGAACCTGTGTATTTGCATATCTGCCTGTGAACTCTATTCAGCTGAATGCTAAGAGGTTTCTGGACAGTCTGATGGGTTTTACGGCCAGCCGTTGTGCTTTCCCACCCAGGACACAGACCTGGTGCCCAGTGATATTGCAGCAGGCTTCACCCTGCTCCACCAGCAACAGGACACTATCAGCAGCAGCCTGGAGCCTCAGGAGGTCGTCACCCACTTTCCAGGGCAGTCTCAGGTAATGACAACACCTCCAACATCCGTGCGTCTATGTGAACCTTCAGAGCCATACAGCTTAAGCTGGCCGTGGGACACTCAGGAGGAGGAAGCAGAAGGATTATGAGTAGGAGGCTAGCCTGGGCTATCTAGGGAGCCCCAGGCTAGAAATAGACCCTGTGTAAGAGGAGAGAAGGTGAGGGAAGGGGAGGAATGAGAGGGAGACAGGGACAGATGGGAGAAGGGAGAAGAGGCAGGAGAAGTAGCCAAGAACAGTCTCAGTAGCCTTTGGGCTGAAACCCAACTTTCTCACCTAGAGTCCAGGCACAGGAAGCCCACTTCCATCTTATTGTCTAGGTGGCGCTGTAGGGAAGTCAATATTTGGGCCTATGTTCAGGAAGGATTCCCTCTGGGATGGGGCCTGAGTCACCTCAGTGTGTTTTCTTCTCCAGGTCTGGAGAGCAGAAACAGCTCAAGCTTTGGTGAAAATGTTTCTGCCACAGATCTGTTTTCCAAAGACAAAGTCATGCCAGACCTGGAAGCGTAGGCCTGCATTCCAGCAGTGGGGGACAGAGGCAGGGGGATTGTGAGTTCCAGGCCATCCCAGGCTACACAGTAGAAGGGACAAAACCAATTCACTCACTCATTTCTTTCCTTTTCTCTCTCCCTCTTCCTCTTTCCTCTCTCTTTTCCTCTCTCCCTTCTCGTATTGCTGGATGTGGAACCCAGTCTTATACATACTAGGCACATGTACCATGTTCCCAGATCCTCAAAAACAAGACAAAACAAAACAAGACAAAAAAAAAAAACAGAAAAATAACACATAGAGCCTATGGCAGAGAAGCCATAGACTGTGTCCCTCTGCCTCTGCCGGCAGTGACTGCACCTGTGTCACTGGGGTCAAAAGCCGTGGAGTCCTCGAGGCAGGAGTCCGTGTCTTAGTTACTTTTCTGTTGCTGTGATAATACACTAGGACCAAGGTAACTTAGGAAGGAAAGCATCTATTGGGGGCTTACAGCTGTAGAGGTCTGGAGCCCGTGACTGTCAGCAGCAGCAAGCAGGCATGGTGCTGGAGTAGCAGCTGAGAGCTGACATCTTGAGACACAACCGTGAGGCAAAGAAAAAGCTTCTGGGGATGGTGTTGGTCTTCTGAAACTTCAAAACCCTCCCCCAGTGGCGTGCCTCCTCCAGGTGTTGAAAGCACCCATGTCCAGCAGGGAAAGCCATAAAGAACTCTAGGCAGGAAGCTCCTACAGGAGCCAGAAGACTCTCCAGGGACCGCTGCCTTCCTCCCTCGCCACAGTTCCGATGGAGTCCTCCGGTGGAGTCCACCGGTGGCTGTTTAGAAGCAGGTGGATCTGAGTTCCCGGCCAGCCAGAGATACATAGGGAGACCTTGTCTCAAGAAACAGAGGTGCTGGCTGTGGTGGCACATGCCTTCCATTCCAGCACTCAGGAGGTAGAAGCAGGTAGATCTCTGTGAGTTCTAAGCTAGCCTAGTCTACATAGCAAGTTCCAGGACAGGACGGCCAGGGGTACACAGACCCTGTCTTTAAAACAAAAAAATACCAGTTTCCCCCCTACTTTAGAGACAGCTCAGCTGTTACGTACTTGCCACACAGCTGTGAGGGCTGGAGTTGGGGTCCTCAGAACCCATGTAAATGCTGGCTGGGTGTGCTGGCCCATCTGTAATTATAGTCTTAGAAGGTGAAGATAGGGGTGGGGTAGCCTTCAGGCAAGCTGGTTAGGGTGACTACTCAAGTCAGTGACCTCTGGGTTTGAATTAAAGACTCTGCCTTGGCAAATAAGGTGGGAGAGTGAAGATTCTCGATGTGAGCCTTGGGTGTTCATGTGCACACAGATGCAAACACAGGTGCACACCCTGTGAACACATGCACAAATACACATGGGGAGAAAAGGAATGTTCGAGAGTCAAGCAGGAAAAGGGCAGGAAGGGTTAGAAAGTGGAGCTCAAGGTTAAGGTCTTGGTGTGGGGGTGGGGTGACCCAGTGGGCTAAGTGGCTTGCTTCACAAGTGTGGGGATCCCCCCCACCGAACTCACATGATGGAGCACTTCTGTGATCCTGGGGTTCCTACAGCAAGATGGGAACTGGAGGTAGGGGACTCTTAGAGGCTGGAGGACCAGCTAGCTGGGTGGGTCCAGCAAACATGGTTCTGACAAGGTACTCATGCTGTGGGACCTGTGTCCCCACAGAGTGCCGCACACACAGATCTCCGGGTTCATCCCTTGCATGAATACCACACACAAAAAGGCTTTTTCCCTCCTCTCTCCCAGGAAGCCGACTTGGATGCCGAAGTGGAGAACTGTCATCACTTCATGCCGTTTGCAGCAGCTGCCTATGGATGGCCCCTCTACATCTACAGGAACCCGTTCACGGGGCTCTGCAGGATTGGTGGCGACTGGTAGGTTGGCCTAGTGTGAGCCTCTCATGGAATTGTTGTCTCTCTAAGAGAAAGCATCCAAGACTAGAATGGAGTCTTAAGTCCTTTACCTAGGATCTTTCTAGAGCTGTGACTGTGTCCTGTGTCCTGAGACTTCGTGCTTTAGCTCTAAGTTTTGAGACAAGGTCTCACTATGTTAGTCCCGGTTGGCCTGAAAGAAACTCGTCATATAGATGAGGCTGGGCTTGAACTCACCAGGCTGCCTGCCTCTGCCTCCCAAGTGCCGGGATTAAAGGCGTGCGCCATGCCTGGCACTTGCAACTTCTGAAAAAGCTTTACTGACCCCAGCTGACTCAGAACAGCGCTCAGAACCACATACAGATGTTGTCAGCCTGTATCTACATGTTGTTTCCAGCATTCATGGGGTCATCATCATTTAAGGTCACTCTCAACCTGTTGGCGGTTTCAGCAAATGGTTACCACAGCACACACATACCTATGTTATTCTGGGCCAGCATGGAAGAGTAAATAGTTTAAGAGTGGAGCTATGCTGCCAGGCAGTGGTGGCACATGCCATTAAGCCCAGCACTTGGGAGGCAGAGGCAGGCAGAGCTCTCTGAGTTCAAGACCAGCCTGCTCTATAGAGTGAGGTTCAGGACAGCCAGGACTGTTACACAGAAAAACCCTGTCTCAAAAAACAAACAAGAAAGAGTAGAGGCTATGCATTTGACTTAGGTTGTTGACGCTGATTACATGGGAAACACAAGCATATTACGGTCGGTCCTCTCAAGAGCAGGTTAGACTTCAGCAGGTTGAGTGCTGGGTGAAAGGCATGCACCACCATGCCTGCCTTTTCAGGGCATATTATTAACTTGATCGCATGGTCTGGAAAATGTTCAATCTCTGAAGGGAGGAGGGATTTTAAGGAAACTATTATCACCCACTGTGGGTCTTGGGATTCAGACTCATATCAGGCTTGGCGGCAGGGACCTTTCCCACTGGGCCAACATTTTATGCTTATTGGATAAAGGTCAGCTAACAACTTAGCTCAATTTCCCCAGGACGTTCATTGTAGTAAAATTATAAAAGTCAATACTCTTATTATTGATTGCTAACTAACTGGTAACTTGAATACACAATAATGTGTATGTGTGTGATATCTGACAGTGTCCAAACGTGTATGCATGTTCACATGCGTGTGTAGGGTTTGGAGACCAGAGGAGGATGTCTGTGTCCTGCTGCCCTTCTCTCCACTTTATTCTCTCAGGGCAGGGTCTTTCCCTGAGTCTGGAGCTAAGCTGGTGACTGGTAGTCCCAGCCATCCTCCTGTCTCCACCCCATCACCTCGCAGTGCTGGGTTCCAGGACTTTCACAGCCTCGCCTGGCACAGGGCAGGGGTTCTGTGGATTCGAACTCTGATCCTCTTACTTGCACAGCCTGCGCTCTTTACCCACTAAACCACCTCACCAGCCCTACTTTTTTCCTTGCTGCTTGAATCCAGGCCTTGCTCATGCTAGGAAAGCATCCTCACATTAAGCTGAGTCCTCAGCCACCAGGTCCAGATTTAGCATCCCTTTGTTCTTAGTCAATCATGACTAGAGTGGGTGGGAACTTGCTGTTTTTCTCAAATCACCATTTCTTCTGCTGTGCAGCAAGCTCCTTGGTATCAGTTCCAACACATGCTTCTTGCTGCATTCACAGCCATGGTTCATTGCTGTCATTTCTATAATTAGTATTTGGTATTCACATGCCCCGGCCTGACTGTGCAGGCTGGTTTCTGTGTCCTTTTGATGGGTCCCTGTCACTTTCTGAGCACTTCCCTAGTTACCTGTTTTGGTTTTTGGTGATTTTGAGGCGGGATGTCATGTAGCCAAGGACATGGACTCCTGATCCTCCTCCCTCCACTTCCCAAGTGCTAGAATTCCAGGCTCATGTCACCACACATGGCCTCTTCCTGCATTTCGGATGGAAATATTTCAGATTTTATTTATCATTAACATACACCTTAGATGTGTGTGGTACGTGTATGCCACAGCAAACGTGGAGGTCAGAAGACAGCACATGCCTCACATGGGATCTCAGAGTGAACTCGTGTGAAATCACTCACCACGCACCTTTACCCATGAGCCATCTTGGCTTTGATGGAAGGTTCCTGATGAAAGGAGTTGAAATTGCATCCTGTGCTTGCCCTGGAGTGGTTTCTGCCCTTCACCCTGCAAGGTGGAGATGCTAATTAGAAACCAAGATCTAAGTGCTTGGCGTCCATCCCTCTGAGGTGTTGCGGCCTGCAGGACTTCCAGGTCGACAGTTTGACAGTTCAAGAAAAAAGGTTAAATTACATTTTGGTGTGTGTGTGTGTGTGTGTGTGTGTGTAAGTGTACATGGATGTCAGAGCAGAGGACAACTTGTAGGAGTTTATTCTTTCTGTCTATCATATAGATCTCATCCCAGGGATTGAACTCAGGTCATGAGACTTGGCAGGAGGTGCCTTTACTGCTGAGCCATTTTCCTGACCCGACACAGGAATTTTGCGTAACTTTCCCATATCATATTTCTGTCGCTTTCACCCCCTGTAAGCCCCTGAACCCAGCCACAGGGCAGTTTGTTCTCATGCTTGATCCCCAGTGTTTCCTAAGTCACACTGGCAGTCCTTGTATCCACTGGTAATGGGGCTGGAGAGGTGGCTCAACCAGTGAAGTGCTTGCTGTTCAAACAGGAGGCCTGGAGCTCAAAGCCCTGCATCCACATGAAAAAGCTTGTTCAGCTTTTTTCACCTGTGTCCCCCGTGGTGGGGGTGAGGTAGAGAGACAGAAGGATCCCTGGGGCTTGCTGGCCTCTAGCCTGGCTCCAGTTCAGTGAGAAGCCCTGTCTCAAAGGAATTAACACAGAATGACAGAGTAGGAAATCCCATGGCCTCCTCTGGCCTCCATGGATGCATGGGCATGCACATGTGCACACA